CAGGCAGCAGGGGAGGTGCTGCCGGCCCAATGGGCCCCAATGAGAGCGGCACCATGGTGGGATGGTGGAGCAGGTGAGTGGGCGGTGCCAGGCCAAGGTGGGTGCAAGCGGGCACCCTGATCGCCCCACCGGTCATCCCGATCGCCCCACAGATCAGCCCCGATTGCTGGTCAGGCCTACGGACCCTACCCATGCATGAATTTCATACACTGGGCCTCTAGTATTGAATAAAATGTTGTATGCTATTATGCAGCCATTAAAAATAATAGATTCATCCAGCCAACGTGGCTCAATGGTTGAGCATCTATCTATGAACTAGGAGGTCATGGTTGATTTCTGGTCAGAGAACATGCCCAGGTTGCGGGCTCCATCCCCAGTGGGTGTGGAGGCCGATCAATGAATCTCTCTCATCATTGATGTTTCTCTCTCTCCCTTCCTCTCTGAAATCAATAAAAATATTAAAAAAAATATAAAAGGATTTCAGCCCTACTGGTCTGGCTGTGGTTGAACATCAACCTATGAACCAGCAGATTATGGTTCAATTCCCAGTCAGGGCACATGCCCAGGTTGCAGGCTCGATCCCCAGTGGAGGTAGCTAAGCAAATGATTCTCTCTTATCATTGATGTTTCTATCTCTTCCTAAAATCAATAAAAAATATATTTAAAAAAAATAGATTTCAAATACTGACAAGGAAAGTGTAGCATAATCTCACTTTTATTAAAACACATACTTATAAGACTTATATATACAAAATACTAAAAAAAATTCTTAGTATTTGCTCAGAAAAAGTTATACCAAACTGTGAACATCGAGCAATGGGAACTGAAACTTGTGATTTTATATATATATAAAGGACTTTTACTTGTTTGTTTACATTTATGAAACAAATATATATATATTACATTTATATTCAGCAACAAAATCAAGAATTTCCATTTTGGGGAAGAAATAAACATTTGGGGTTTAGAAAATGGCTTGCTGAGAAAATAAATTTGATAAGTTACAATTTGGGTGTCCTATCTATGGGTTATTCTCCTTCAAATGCATGGCTTTGTTACTCCTTCCACTTATAATTTTAAAAGCATTTTAAATAAAGAAAAATAAAACATCTTCACCTTAATTTACTCTTTAAATGGTTATAAAAGGGTATAAATTAATTGCAAATGAAAATGCACTAAAAGTGGGACCTAAAGCCTAGACATTTAACACCAGCTAATGGAGGGTATGAGATGCGAATTTTACAGAAAGGCTGTTTTCTAAATTATAAAACCCACAGATTCAAATCCAAGTGTGAATCACAAAGACGTGCTCTACAACACGATAAGGAAGGATTTCTTTCACTCTAATTAATCTTACAGCCTCACTCTCTGCCCCCCACCCCAATGCAGTTATTTCTTTTGGGGACAAAAAAGAAAAAGAAAAAAAAGATCCTGTTTTTTGGACAGCTGCACTTTTGATATTCCAATATTCTAGCTAGATTGCTGGAGACTTACAAAGCATGCTTGTTCATAGACTTCTGATTTATTAAGAATATAGTCATGGCTCTGTAATTGAACACTATACTTTAACAAAATACTTTAATCCTAAACATTTTTTTTTAATCCTAAACATTTAAAAGTGAATTTATACCACTAATTCCAACAAATCTATTAAGTTGAAGGAAAAAATAATGCTAAATGCTGAAGAAAAACACAGCTTGTGTGGACATGGGTTCTTGAGAACAGAGTCACACCTTACAAGCTACTTGGGTATTCACAATTGTTACAACACCCTTGTTTGTTTTACCTTCTAATGACAATCTACACAGTAGGAGACAGAAGGGACAAATGATTCCAGCAGAGAACCTGAAGAACAGAACCAACGAGGAGGAAGGCTCTTGTTGGTAGAAAGTAGACTGACTCTTTGACCACTTAAAGGAATGCAATCTTTTGAAAAAAGAAATCCGCCATTTGGTAGTTTAGCAAGGCTTTCTACTTACCTGTGCAAGGAGGTGGCAAAGAGCTGGCTTTGTTTTAGCAACCTGTGTATTACAGCTCACATTCCTTTCACCCCAAGGCAAAGATTAGAAACTGGTCCCCACCCCTGAGCCAAGTCCATCCTGAAGTACAAGTGTTTGGTTATGACCTCACCTACCACACCTGGAGCCTTGTCACAGCATGGACAAGTCCAAACAGTACCTTGTTCCTCCATCCAACATTCTTCATATACTCAAATACAGCCAAGAGAATAAGTTTTAAAAATGGGGCACCTTCGGAAGGCAACTACTTCCCATTTTTCTGGGCCCCCTTCTATAAAATGTCTCCTCTCTCCAATTTATTCCAAATTCTGCTTCAGGATTTTTCTTCCTAAAACTCCTCTTGGATATTTTCAATTAGGTCACTGCACTGATAAATCTTTAGGTCATTTTCCCTAATAAAATTCAAACTCCATAGTAAAGCATCAAGAGTTCTTACATCAGTGAACTTTTCTACATCAGTCTTTCTTTCTACCATCCTACAATTCTTGAGTGTCTGCTCGTTTTTGTTTTTAATGATTTTTAAAAATTGATTTTACAAAGGGAGAGGGAGAGAAACCTCTATGTAAGAGAAACATTTCCATCTGGGACTAAACCCGAGACCCAGGTACACGAGTATGGCCTGACCAGGAGTCGAACTGGCAACCTTTCGGTGCACAGTATGACACTCAACCGAGCCACTCCACGCCCAGCAAGTATCTGCTTGTTTTAATCAGGTGATTTCCTGTACATTTTGATGCTCATTGTCTATGGAAATCCTCCTACCTACACTTTTAAGGATTAGCTCAAAGGCTCTCTCTTTCCAGGAGTCTTCAAATACCCTCCAAATGAACTTAAACCCATGGCCCTGTGAATCTGAAGCCAGTCCTCCCTAAGTGCTTCTCCCATCACCCTAAAATAACCCAGGTACCCCTCCTCACATGGCCACTTAGTGAATCTCAGAACTAAGTAGTATTTTCTCCCACCAGTGTATAAGCTCCTTAACGCAGAGTCTATCACTGCCTCAATATGTAACTGAATGAATCAAGAATTAGAAGCCAATTTTTGGAGAAACCAGGGCTTCTGGCAAGGAGGCAGGACAATGGTTTTAAGAGCATGGATGTGGCCATCAGAGCGATCTAAACTTAGATTCACTAGGTTATTTACCAGCTGTGTGTCTTAAGCATTTCCTCTAAAAAAATGAAGTTTGCAAAACATACCTAATATGGTGATTGTGTAAATGGGCTAAAGCACAAACATACCTTAACATTTCATCTGTGGCATATGCTAAGGAGATGATTGTTAGATATCTCTGTTGTTCAGATTCTGCTAATGCAATACTTAAAGGGACATTTAGCCCCGGCTGGTGTGGCTCAGTAGCCAGTCAGGACACATGCCCTGGCTTGATCCCTGGTGCGGGGGTGCGGGGGCAGCTGATTGATGTTTCTTTCTCCCTTCCTTCTAAAATCAAAACTTTTTAAAAAATACATTTTTATTGATTTCATAGAGAAAGAGAGGGAGAGAGAGCTAGAAACATCAATGATGAGAATCATGGATCGGCTGCCTCCTGCATGCCCCATACTGGGGACGGAGCCCACATCCTCCGCATATGCCCCGACTGGGAATCGAACCATGACCTCCTGGTTCACAGGTTGATGCTCAAACAGAGCCACGCCAGCCGGGCAAAACTTTTTTTTTTTAAAAGGCACATTTAAACAACCACTGCTGTGATTTAGGGCAGCGGTCGCCAACCGGTGGTCCACGGACCACTGGTAGTCCATGAGGTCTGAAAGGTTGGCGACCGCTGTTTTAGGGAACAGGCAAATCTCTGGTTGAAGACTGGCCTCTCCATCACCGCTGCTTGGATGTTGACGAGTACTTTAACCTCTATGCCCTGAAATTTCCTTATGTTACATACATAACATGGTGACAATATACTTCTCCGACAGAATTACTGAGTAATAAAGATCATAGAAGAGGTTACTTTTATGTACTTCAATTCCTAGAGAAAAAGCCCAAAGTATTTAACATTTTATTCAATTTCTAGCATGTTCTGTGAGGCCCTTGAAAAGAAATTTTCCTCTTTCAAAAAAAAAAAAAAAAGAAAGAAAATAAATTTTCCTCTTTCATATATAATTTCCCTTCCCTTTACTGTTTATAGAACAATTGGATGACTGAAGTTGTCAAAATGAAAACTAAAGCCAGAATGGTTCTATTTTGCTCCCTCTGCTGGCCTAAGAGCAGGATAGTACCAGGTGGGGCAAAAGTAGGTTTACAGTGTATGTGAGTTTATTCCTATATTATTAATTATTGGATTATTTTTCATACAAACTGTAAACCTACTTTTGCCCCACCCTGTACTATCTGAGACTAATAGTTCAAGATCACTTAAATATTTATTTTCATGAACTTGACTATAAAGATGTAATAGTATTGCACATAAAGACAAAAACCCCCGCAAGAAACTGATTCAGATCCTGGTGGGGTACCTCAGGTGATTAGAGTGTTGTCTCCATAGGCCAAGGTTGCAAGTTTGGTCTCCGGTCAGGGGACACACAAGAAGCAACCAATGACTGTGTAAATAAGTAAAACAACAATTCAATATTTCTCTCTCTAAAATCAATAAATTAAAAAAAAGGGGGGGGACGGACACACACCCATTGTTTCAGCTCTTAAAGACCTGATAATTAAAAGCATTTTTTTTATATCTACTTTCTACTTTTAACTATTATTTATCATGGGGTTCAAGTCCAGAATTTTTTTTTTTTTTTGGTACAAAGGCTAGTTGCCCTCCATTATTTTCAAAATGATTAAGATTCTGCTCCTTTATATTTAAGGTTGAAAACCACTAAAAACACCCAAATTTTCCAATTTCTTATATTTCCTTTGTTTTTCTTCCATTTATAGTTCCACTAATTTTTACAACCATATAATTTAGTTCCAAATTTACAGGGTTTTATTTACTAATTTAACTGTGAATCACCTTTTTGTATTCAAAGTCTTAGATTATGTATTTGAAAACTAATTTATTAAACCTTTGTACACAAAGACGATCGATCATACCTGTGTCGCAAGCTTATATGAAGAATGAAGTTATAAAAAAATAAAAGGGTCATTAAAATTGATGTATGTAAATCACTTACAAAAATACCCCAAGTGGGATAAAGCTGCTCATCCCTGATTTTTCTCATTTGGTTGTCGAAGTTGAAATGTGAATTTAAAATGGTTAGAATTTTTTCTTTAAAAAAGTGATCTACTAAACTTATATACAAGATAATTAGCAAAATGTAGAAAGGGAAAACAATGTACAAAAGACGCTAAAAACCATCACTCTGCACGGACACTCACAACCCAAAAATAGTATAAGCAAACTACCTCTAAACCTCTATACTTACATTCCCCCACGTTCTTAGTAGTGAGAATAAAATACGGTAAGCCAGCGAGCCCGATCTTTCCATTCATTAAAACAGGCCTGACTTTAAGCCACAAATAAGCCTCTGACAGATTTTTAAACATGGGAGGGACAAACAGGAAGACGGTTCATCTGTCCACTTAGTATTGTGACCAGGACACAAAGTTGTAGATCATGAACTAGGTCTTGGTGCTGTGTCAAGCAGTTACTCAGAAGTCTTCTTGTTTTTCTGCTGGTTTCGGGGTGAGTTCTTTAACAAGTTTCTTATCCTGAGGTACATTCCAGTCGATTCTGCCATATTCTCAAATTCGAATGGCATTATTCCAGTTGCGAACTTGCTCATATCAGGGATAGGACTGTGAGTTTTAGTGGCTGTGGAAGGACTGGGGTCCAGGGGCAGGAGCTTCTGGCTGCCTCCGTTCCTGATGTCACAGTTCGATACCACACTGCCGTCATCGAGAGGCGCACCTTCAGAGCCTCCCTCGGCAGACTCCTCCTTGTCCTGCCGACAAAGCATTGTCGCGTCGGACTCTGGACTCTCTGGATGTTCAACTTCTGATTTCTTTGCACAAGTGTCCTGTTCCTTGGGCTCAGGCTCCTCTGGCACCTGCTTTTCAGATGGTTTTCCCTCTGGGACAGGCAGCTCTAGCTCGTTTGGACAAGGGGAAGAGGCAACCGAATTTCCAGTTAAAGGTGTGTCAACAGCAATGTCAGAATCGCTGTTAACGCTCTCAGCCTGCTCCAGGGCTGCCCATATCCGCCGCTGCTGCTCTTCGAGTTCTTCCAGAGTCAGTGTGTCCTCCTCCATAGGCGCAGGTGCTGTCCTGGTCTGTGGTGAGTCACTGGGAGTCAGTGGTGGGGTGCCCTTGGGAAGCGGAGGAATGAAAGTGGGCGAAGTTCCCCGTGGTAGTGGAGGAGTGTCAGGGGGCAATGGTGGCTGAAACCGAGTAGCATTCCCACTCGAAGATACATGCAGGGCCTCCGCATCTGCAATAAGAAAGGCAAGAAACTTTCAGTTGTCAGAGCACTTGGCTGTACTAGCATGTATTCCCTGAACTTGGGGATAGTCAGAGATTCAACGGCCAAAAATAACTGGCTTGAAGGGGAAAACCCTGTGAATACTCATACGTGACCTTCACCTCATCCTCAAGCCACCTGAAAACACGGACACCTGCAGGGGAAGCTACGGGACCTTCCAGTGCCAGGAACATTAACCGACCCCTTTGGCAACTGTTTTCATGCTGTTACATCATGTTAGAGCTAGACACTATGAACAACAGCATGGAGATACAGAATAATTTCTAGGTTGTCTCCTGTAGCTGAAGATGGAATTCATGAAAGAATGCAGTAGAATGCTTGGCTGGAAATGTAGGCTGGCTGGATGCTGAGTGTGTGGAAGGCAGGAGGAAACAAAGGTAGGCAGACGAGGCAGAGACACCCCTCGGGCTTATTTCTAATTCTGTGTCTCTAGTCTAAGACCATTTGCCTGATCGGTGGGTTCATATAGCTAACTGGTCACTGGTCATCACCAGCTGGCTGTCCCCCACACACAGCAGATCCAAACTGTGCAAAACAAAGGAACTTCTTTCAAAAGCTGGAGTCTTCTCCTATTTGCTATTCTTGCTAATGGCAGCACAAGTAGTATCTGGCTAAAGACTCCAAAACTGAACCCTGCTGACCACCCGAGAGTCCTCCTTTCCTTCTGCCGCACCCAGGTCCTGGGCTCTCCGGGGTCCACCCTTTCTTGAAGATTGTCATAGTCACTACATTATTTCAGGCCACTCTTGTTTGTCACTTCAATAACTCAATAAAAATTAGAAACAAAACAGAAAAACCACACAACACAGTTGGGAAGAATAACTGGGGAAGCTTGGCTCGGCTCTGCCTTCTTGGACCAAGCTGCCACTGCTGGTCTCCGAGCACTGCCCCATCCGAGGGGCCAGGCCAGGGGCAGGACTGCTGGGGTGCAGGGGTGGGGGAGGGGGAGGAGGTGATGAGGGATCTAGGTCTGCCTAACTCAGGAACCCAGCAGGGAGGTGATGAGGGATCTAGGTCTGCCTAACTCAGGAACCTAGCAGGGAGGTGATGAGGGACCTAGGTCTGCCTAACTCAGGAACCCAGCACACTGGCCCATGCATCTCTCAGACCAAGTATGTCTTCCAACCCAGCTTTGACCGCTGACAGTGGGGATGCTCGGATCTCCAAGAATAAAATTCACTATTTAGTTGGTGCTCACAAAGAGCTTCTTTCTTACGGAACTCAGGAGCATGCGAATGTGTTCTACCTCCTCAGGAAAATCACAAGATGAGGTGAAACCTACCCGAGTCGAGCTCCATGTCCGCGGGGGAAGCCGAGCTGCTCCCCTTCTGCTTCTTCGGACTACAAGGGCTGGACCGAGACGAAGACCTCTTGGAGGCAGACCTCACGCTCGGCTAACGGAGGAACCAAAGCACAGTTACAGCGGGCAGACAAGAAATGCAACTTCATCCATCCCTTCACTCAAACATGACGCAGAAAACCAATCCAGAACCAAGTCCATGTCACTGGCGAATGCAGCTACCTTTTCCTTTTGATTCACCAGGAAACAGCAAGAGCTTTTATACTGAGCAAGCGAGGCAATAAGATGCTAACGCATTACAGAATCCCACAGCCACATGCAATACGTTTCTATAGAAGACTCTGAAAGTCTCTTTACCGCTTGGAAGTTTGAAGTAAGGTAACTGGCAAACACGTCCTTCTGCTGATAGGCCTGCATTGGTATAGAACCAAACATCCTCCATTCCTAATGACGAGAAGAGAAGGAATAAGCGTTTACCTAGGAATTGCCATGCTTTGAGATTTCTGTTCAAAGGAGGTAAAGTGGAGGTATCAAATTACATTTCTGCTTCATACGTGACTTTTCCTTTTTTGGGGGAATTAATGAAAATAATGGTACATTGAGGGGGAAAAAAACCTCAACTCTGCCTACAGAACAGTCAGGACTGAATACTAAAAGCTACTTGACAAAAATCACTTGACCCCAAAATGTCCTGCTTACTACAGGTAGAAGTTATAAGCAGTACCAACAAGGGCTCTTATCCGGCCTGGCTGGCTCAACCCTCTCCCGACTGCTCATTGCTCATTCCTCCTGACACATTTACTTGTGCTGTTTTCTATCTTCTGTTCTTTCCCTTTCAAAACTGATTACTTATCTTTAAGGTCCCACCTTTCTCTCTCATCACCAATAGCACATTCAACAGTGACTGTTACTAAGAATCACTCTGGGCTCTTGTCAAATGTGTAGATTCCAGAGACTGAGTCCATTAAGTCTAAGGGAGGGACTCAGAATGTGCATTTCCTATGAGGCCGCAAGGGGATTCCCATGTGGGCCAGGTCTTGGATCCACTTTCAGAGGCTCTGATGGCTTGTGCCAGGCAATTCAGCCCTTAATTTAGCCCATGCATTTTTTAAATTAAAATACTACTGCTACCATCACCATCACAAGACTTAATTGTTGAATTCTGAAACATAAGAGTTGGAAAAAAGTGTAGAAATCATTCCCATATAAGATGAAAAATTTTATTTTGAAAAACAAAAAACCCCACTATTTTTTTAAGGTATGTAAGATTTCACTTAAGATTCTAGTCAACATAAAGAAAATTTAAAAAGTTAAACACATTTACTTCTTTATGTAAGTAATTGCTAAATAAAGCTAAGATTTTGAACAATTTACATAGCTCATAAGAATAAAGAAACAATACACTTACATCTGGAATTCCTTTGGGAGTAGATATATTAAAACCTGGATAGTTTACCAATTTCGAGAGATCATAAGTGACATTTTGATTGTGTTGTATTTCTCCAGATTCTGTTTCCCCATCAGCAGCATCTATTACAGACCATCAAAAGGGTTAATATTGCTAGATGCCAATATAAATCTCTCTCCAGACCAAAAGCAGACCTGGAGGGTGCTTACCTTCATGGCAAAAGCATTATTCTGAGGACTTTAATCACAGTATGTCCGAACCACTAGGTCAGAACTGTTCGACAACGTGCACGTATTACTTTGATAAAATATTTAATATCTGGCAAGTCTGGTTCTTCTATGGGTTGCTTAAAAGTCTATTTTGCACCGGGCTGGAGTGGCTCAGTTGGTTGAGTGTCGTCCTGCATACCGAGAGGTTGCTGGCTCAGTTGCCCTCGTCAGGGCACAGGCCTGGGTTTCAGGGTCGATTCCTGGTCTGGTCTGGCCTCTTGATGTTTCTCTCTATTTTTTCCTCCATTTCCTTTCCTCTCTCTCTAATATCAATAAAAAAAATCCTCAGGTGATGATTTAAAAAAATAAAAAATAGCCTGGCCAGTGTAGCTCAGCGGCTGAGCGTCGAACCAAGAGGCCACTGGTTCGATTCCTGGTCCAGGCACATGCCCAGGTTGCAGGCTTGATCCCCTGTGTGGGCGTGCAGGAGGCAGCTGATCGATGATGTTTCTCTGTCATCGATGTTTCTATTTCTCTATCTCTCTCTAAAAGTCAATAATATATATTTTTTAAAAATAAAATTAAAATAAAGAGATTTAAGAGACTCTGAATTATCCACAGCCTTTTGTCCAAAGAATCCCTACCCAAACAAATAAGCTAAAAAAGAAAAGAGTTTGAATATTAGCATGACCTAAAAATTTATTAAAGGACTGTGCTAAATACCTTTTTGGTATTATTTGAGAAGGGGGAGGAGGCGTGATAAATTTTCTAAAAATACTTTTATTTTTAATTGTCTAAGTAATATGCAGAAAGATTTTCACTTAAAAATATTTAGAGCATTAGAGATAAAACTAAAATCTGTATCCCATCCTTTTTCCTGTCTCAGTTATGGATAAGCACTATTATGTTTGCTGAATATCGGTTCAGACATTTGCATTTTATAAAAAAGATTTATTTACTAGCTACCATGTGCCAGGCAGGCACTGTGCCACATGCTGGGGATATACTGAATGCAATGGATATGGTTTTAGCTATTGTAAACCTTACCATCTAGTTGGGAAAATATATACCACTTAAGTAAAACAGAAATAAATAATGCAATTTGACTAAAGCACTTAAATTATTCAATCAGTAAGTTTACTATTGCAACTTACTCATTTACAGTACTAATGCTTCATTCTTCTGTTATCTAAGCTTTGACATCTTTTTAAATGATAAGATGCCTCAAAGTAGATAAAACTTAAAGCCATTATTAACTGAAAACACTTCAATGAAAAATTTGAAGACAATTTTAGTGACATGGGTAGGAGTGTGTATAGGAGGGAGGATATAAGAAAAGACCAGAGTGCATGAGAGAGCTAATGAATTTTAAGTTATGTCACCACTTTTAAGTTATGTTTACCACTTAAGTAAAACAGAAATAAATGTAAACGGTGACAGGGTCTGAAGGAAGCACACAGGGAACGGTGAGAAAAACTGGAGGACAGTGGATGAATGAGGTGGTCGGGGAGGGCATCTATGGGGCTAAACCCTAAAATCTAGATGGTTCGTGGTCAAGATCTTTTAAAAATATTTTACATAAATAAGTCCTTAGAGAAAAC